GCGTGGATGTCTTAGTAGTGGACGGTGTCATCACGGAATCGTCGTCCTGTGTAAACTCCAAAGCAGCGATTGCTTCTACAATTTTCTTATCCAGATATTCCGAGTTGAAGTAGCACAGAGACCGCTCTTTCTTGGATAAGCTCATGATCAAGTCGAGTACTTCTTGACTGTGACGAGGGTTGAATTTTCTAATTGCACGAAGGAATTTCTCACGCTCAGGTACAGGAACGAGTGAAGCCATCGGAGAAGCAGGAATGATAGGCGTAATTACAGATGGCATATGCGGGGTTGTAGATACGCTAGTGTTCTCATCTGAACCACGGCGGTTTTTGCCTTTAAGCTGCTGGCGTGCTTCTGTAATCTAGCAAAATGACAGAATTAGAGAAAGAAGAAAACGCAGCGTTGTATTAGCGTTGTACCATAGCGTCGATCGCTATATAAAGTGATGCTATATTATCGGCGTCGTTCAATTTACCTTTTGTTGCAATGCCTGAGGGTCCTCAAACATATGCAATACTTCTGGAAGTTTGTAAGCCAACAAGATATCGATGATTGGATTAACCTCCTCTAAAGGTATGCTCGGGATATGCCTGAATCTCTTTTGCAATTCAGACATCAACACCTCTCTTCTCGCTTTAGGAGCCAAATCAGATAACTCTTCCTGGTTAAATTCATTGTAGGCATTAACCGTATAAATTTCAGAGTTTCTTCTTGACGGTGCGCGCGATTCCGTTGGAGACGCTGGTCCATTAAAAGTTGGTTTCGTCTCCCGCAATTTTTTTGGTTCATGAAGTCTAACTACAATTTGTTTAGAGCCTAGAGTTTTGTTGTTCATTGACGACTTTGCTCGTTCGGCCTCTTCTGGGTTAGTGTAACTCACAAAACCAAAACCTTTCGAGTTTCCGGTTTCTTGGTCGCGCATCACGCGAGCGCTAATTATGCGACCAAACTTGCGGAAATGGTTGAAAAGATCGCTGCTTGAAATGTTGGCGTCGAGATTCTTGATGAAGAGATTGCATGGATCAACAATCGGACCTTCTGTATTAGGTGACTGAGGTAGTTGGTTATTATTCTGGTAATTAGTAGAAATTATGGGCTGTTAGGAAGGATTATTAAATTAGCATTATAGGAGGTGTGATAACCACAAATTAATGAGTAAATTGGGAAGGGATACAATCGTAATTTGTTAATAACTTACGTTAGAACCATTATTGTTGTTATTGGTTGCGGTGACGCTATTGACACTATTAACGGAGGATGAACGTTGATGGTTCATGTTCTTGCGAGGAGTGAAATTTGTGATCGCACTACGGGTCAGATGTATTGCAGAATGAATGATAACGTTAACAAAATCAGAATAATCGAATATAGTATCTAGTGATTAATAACCAGACAAAATATATTGGTAAATTCAACTTACAGGGTCCTCCCGTTATAATCGCTACAATGCTACATAATCAATGTTGACCGGTTAATTATCAAATATAGGTTTGGTATAATATAAATATATGAACAGATGTTCATCTTACCAGAGTCTTCACTGCTTCGGCCGCAGCCGATTCTTCAAAGAAATGCACATGAGCTTGGCCTCTGAACATACCGTTCTTGTCATGAATAAGCTTGCACGAATATAAAGGGCCATAGTTTCTGAAAAGATCATACAATTCGTTTATATTTATCGTATTAGGCAGTTGCTTTACTAGTAAAATTTGTGCGTTTGGTAGAATATCTGATCCGCTGCTGGGATCTTTGATATGGAATTTAAGAACGTTCTTCGCTTCGAGGGAAATGTTGTTGTAAAAGGCAAATGCTCTCTCAGCTGGAACACATTGTATCGAATGAAGAAAGATAATCGATTACGTAGGATGAAAAAAAAAAAAGAGTGAGATACGCTGACAAGTTAAAGAGACTTTTTAAGCGGGTAAAAATACCTTCATTTATGGTGGCAAATCGAACGACGCCGCTTGAAGGGGCCATATTTCCAGGTTTAAGGTCGACTCTGTTTAAACAAAGTATGGCGACGCGTTGTTATGTTGCGTAGATGCGCAGTTACATTTTAATTGAGTTGGATGTCGAGATCAAAGGTATACATACTGGGGAGTGTTTTCGACTTTGAGAATCTCTTGGAGTTCGATGTTGGTCATACTGTATGGCACCTTGCTTATATAGATGACAGGCTCTTCGAAAAGCGTGCCTTTAGGTGTATAGTCGTCGTTAGTGGGCATAGGCATATTGTTAATGGGCATAATTTGGTCAAGTTATCACCTGAGGTTTGAGAACGAGCTTGTTGCTGAGCTCCATAATTAATACGTTTGTGCGACATAGTAGCACCGGCACAAAAATTTGATGTCCATGCCGATACGGTATGTACGTATTGACGTTGAGCAACGTACCTCACAGCGGAGTTTTTTTTCCTGGCACCATTATCCTCGAGGTCGTAACACAATCGATTGCTCTTTGACCAGGACCATGAGTCGTAATCTCGGAGAATACGGACAATCTTTCGTATCCAATGTAGATTCGGGGCGTTTTTGATACAAACGTCTATTGTATCGAACAAAAACACTCAACGGCTTGCATTGACGATTCCATTAGGCAGGCAGGGGTTTTGGTAAGAGGTAATGCATTCGCGTTGTCGATTTAGTAGGACAAACGATGTGGCCCAACAAATTCTAGACCTTTTTAGGTATTTCGCAATTGATTTGCCAAAGGAGAAAATTTTGCCCCACCCTAAACGTTAATTAAATACTGCGGGACATATCGAAATACTGCGATGACATAAGGATTTCCTTATATACTTCGAGATATGCCAGATAAACGATCGGCTATGTGCGATATATAAAAAGTTCGTTTATTCGCTGCGCAGCCCATTCATTATTTGCATCGCTGACTATTACAAAAAAAGAGAATTGCTTGCATATTCACTATTCTGATGCCATAGAAAGCTGCAGGGAGTCGTTCGGTAGTGCTATATGTGGAATAGAAACGTTACAACAAAAACAAGGGCGGTAGACTTCAGGGGTTCAAAACACTCGGTCCCCATATTAATATAGCTAACAAACACAGCGGGGTCGACTGATTTACCTTTACGTCTATATTAATATTCGCTTCCTTTTCACCTTTAAGCACAAATTCAGCATCAATGTTAAATCAACACTAAGCCTTTTTGTTGAGCATGGCTTGGTTGGCTCGTGCCCAAACACGTCATGCTGATTGCGCAGGTTCAAGTCCATGCTAATAATGTTAATATTAACTAATTAATTAATAAAATACTACCCCTTGTAATAATATGTATCAGCCCATCCAAGGGAAATACGTGGCTTTGCATTTGCTCCGAGTATAGTATTCTAGCAATATATAATCCCGTTTATCATCATCATATCATCATCATTATTACTACTCTGCTGAACGACCGCTTTTCACCAAAACTTATATGACTTATCCTAATATCAGTACAAGTCTGATATTTATTAAAACGGAATTCTAAGGTTTTCTCATTGAGGAGCTCCTGGATTATATAACATTCCGAGGTGGATAGAGAGTTGCATTGCCTGAAATTGAAAGGTTTTGGGGTTATCCGATTGGATACGCTACGATGCAAGCTGATGTGGAATTAGTAAGCGCAGAATTTTAAAGCGGTTGGTAAAAAGCGAGCGTTGCCAAGCAATCTAAGCAGTCGCCGTTACAAGAGCACGTACACAAAATGTAATCATTGAACTATAACCTCAAATATTACAAGAGAACAACGTCCTTTTAAATGGCTACTACAGTCACTGGTGTGCATTTTGGGTCATGTATTGTAATTTGCGATTAAAATGTCACACAGTATTACTATTACGTATTAGAACATTTGGATTTATGACTTGCGTGGCTGGGTAGTCCGATAAATATTGTTAATAAAAATAGACTTCATATTTTACAATAATTACTCATTAGATTGACTTTGTCCGGTACATAGTTAAGTAAACAAAGTAGTATGACAATAATTAAACTTTTAAAGCTGGCATCGCAATTAACATTCACTGGCACGAAATCAACATTTTACTGAAATCTAGGAAATCTGAACAAGTGGGGGAGCGATTAATTAGCTACGGTAAAAATATGGCTTTATATGTGCCCTCCAATAAGGATTTCCGACTCACATATTATTTGGTATCCAAGATGAAGCAGTATGCGAACAAATTAATTACGTTCTCGATGAAGACGAAATCATCGGCAAAAGTCCTAATGGCACTGAGCCTGGTATTCGATGAAATAATAAAGGTAAAAAATATGTAAATATTACTTGTGACAACGCGGGAAGACTGAATAAACATAATGCCACTATATAATTTTTACTTGTATTTAGTAATTTGCGGTTATTATGAAAGTATCGAACTGGTACCAGGACATATTAAATTTAAGTGTGATGGCAGTTTGGATTGATTAAAAAGCTTTATCGAAAAACGACGGTATATTGTGTAGATTATATTGTTAAAGTTGTGAAAATCAGGTACAACAGGATTGACAAAGCTCAGTGCTATGAAAACGGCAAAGGGTTTCAATATTAGATCTTAATTTTCTTTAAGAACAAGTTTGATATTGGTAACACAATCTTTTAGCGCCTTAGAAAGTCGCTACGCCTAGTTTATTACGCCCTTAGCTC